TCCACCACGTATATAACACATAATATAATGAGGGAGAAAAAAATAAACAATTCCCGAACCGAAAACGGAAACGTAGGAACCAAAAGATTTCTTCGGCATATCCTGGAGGGGGAGGGACCGTGACGGTGACGTATAGATTATTATTGAAAATAAATTGTGTGTGTGAGTGTGTTACGCAACTTTTTTGTACACATCGCGTAGTACATCACACACAACCTACACCGGAGCTCACATGAACAATATGGAGATACCACTTCCGAAACGTGTGCGGCGGCGTGGGTACGACTATATAATAACTAACGACAATGGACGCGAAATGAGAGAGAGAGAATTATCTAAACAATAAAAATATTCATATTATATACATGTGTGTACGCGCGTTCATAGTGATATATGTACATACGTGTGTACTGAACAATTAGAAGAAAGACTATTTTTATTTTAATATGATTTGTGTAACCATATGGCCACACGGTGTTGATATAGGTTTTTCCGTATAGTTGATTTAGGTCGATGACACTAACAACACTACCATCTCTATCTATCTATGCAAAAGGCTTATTCACGATGAAATATATTATAAATAAATAAAATAATAAATATAAATATTTTTTTATATATTTCTATAACGTTTTGTTTTTTCAAACAATGTTCATACGTCGCGTTACACGTACTGTAATTGGTTTTTAAATACATTAGTAACGGGAAAATGCAAAATCAAACGTTTGTAAATAAAACTTTTTAATATATAATTTGTTATAACAAATCAGTTTATCAATGTCCTGCACCATCAAAGTATAAATATTATACGTGTGTGTATTGTGTACGTAAATTATTCGAAAATTGTTAATAGACAAAACGCGTCTTATATCTTATTTTTTATTTTTTCCGATAAAAACGTGCGGACGATACTGAAAATGTTCCGCTCTATATTTGGTATTCAGTCAATCTAAAGTATTTAAACGCAATAATACATAAATTCATACGTGTGTAAATATATAATATACGTCCGTGTATACACGAAAACGGACGCGCGTTTCGTTATTACAATAATATTATAAAATCTGATATCGTATAATATCTCGATTTCCAAAAGCCGTATGTAACGTCTGTAACGTCATCGTAATATATTATTATATTATATGCGTGTTGTACTAAAAAACAATTCGGTCTTATGAAATTCATCACGGCCAACAACGTCGTGTGTTTGTCTTGTTCGAAAACCCACACTGTCTTCTCGTTCGAACCGCCAAAGATTATGTATAGGTATCTTCGCGAATTCTTTTTTTCCCGTCCGACATCGTACACACACACACACACACACACACACACACACACACACACACACACACCCACACACACACACACACACACACACACACACACACACACACACACACACACACACACACACACAAACACACACACACATTTAAGCATTATTATGCGTCCTCTTGAATTCTTCAATACACGAAGGTGTATACGATAAATACAATTCTTTTATTACTGTTTAAAAAAAAAAAACTTTTTTCGAATTTTACAATAACGATCAGTGCAATAAGTAAATTTTAAAAACAATATTAGTAACTCGATGGCTTGACCAAGGAGGCGCATAGCTGTATTGGCTCGGGGAAGAAAATATTTATATAATACATATAAATAATATGTGTGCTATTCGACGAGAAGAATCAGTACGGATTGATTGTGTGCAGAAGATAAAAATTATATCGTATAATTCAAGACGGTTTTTTATTCCAATGTAATATGAATACGTTTCTAAAGCTTCGGGTCGTCAATTTTTTTCTAACAAGTGAGCGTAGAGCTTCAAAATGTTAAGTTTTAGACAATCGACAACTATTTATTCATTATAACATTGATGTATATTAAAAAATATACATTGTTAAAAAATTTGAAAAAATTTAAAAAAAAATTTACTCACGTTTTAAACTGCACGAATAATTTTTATTACGACCCAATGGCGTATATAGGTTTTCATTTCGGAGGGGGCCAATTATGTATTTGAATTTTTGGTTGGAAAAGAAGGAGAAAGCACACTATTTCGAAAAAAATTACTTTAACATTATAAGACTTCTCATCTGTTTTTCCATTATTAGAAAAATAAGAAATTCAATTTTTTTAATGATTTATTATTTTTTAAAAGTATAAAACTACATTGTAATAAACAATTTTTTTTATTAGAGTCAATCAAAATTCACCACATATTTTCTTAAAAGACTAAACATATTTTATAAATATAAAATTTTAAATTATCGCATAAGCAACATTCTCAGTGTCGCGACAAATTTTTGGAAATCCCCAGCATTAAGACATATCCATGTTAAAAATAACAATCTTTAACAATGGTGTTTTTCATTTCGGAGGGGGCCTGGGCCCCCTCGGCATCCTCCCCTATGAATACGCCCTTGTTACGATTTATCCATGAATATTTATGGATTCATTGACGATGGAATAAAAAATATTACCTATTTCTCGTATTATGTTCGGTACGAAAAATAGGTGTCGATTATAATTGCGATCAAAGATAAAGATGAAAAACAGAATTATAAGTGAAATGTATACACATGAAATTTACGCGATGTTCTGATATATTGTTCAATATGGTTTTTGGTTGGATTAAGTTTTTTGAGGTTTTTCAATATTGTATATCGATATAAGTGGCACGGGAAGACGTCTTGCACTTCAAACATATTTGCATATTTGCACCTGCGTTCATCACACAGCAAATTGCAGTGGGCTTTAGGTCGATAACAAATTATTAATTGGCCAATTGCGAAACCGGTATTATTATAACATTATTATATTATCATAAAGGTACACTGTTAGTTGTTATGATGATGCGACGTTTGATTATTATTTTTCTAGATTTCGAATTTAATTTGACAATAGAATGCTGTAGGTATCGAAAAATCGCAGTCAATTGATAATTTGTCTCCTTTGGATGTTATAATAAAATATATTCAGTTTATATATACTTATGTATATATAGCAATCGGAAAATCCCGCGTGATCTAGAGTTTTTTTTAATTATCTAAAAATCATTTTTAGATAATTAAAAAAACTCTTGATCTATTTTATTTTATAATTATTATAAAATAAAATAGAACTATTTGTTTGTAAAATAAAAAGAACGAATCGATTAAGATAAAATGCAAATATTACACGTACAAGTGTTCATGAATATTGATTTTTACACAGCGGTCGGTAAATATTTCATAAATAGCAAGTCACCGTGAAAGAGCAAAGGATCATTTATCTATGCGATTGTTATACTATTAACAATTACCATACACCGGTCGTTATGTATACGGATCTAGGATACACATTATGCACACAGTACTACTATCGGTAATACAAATTGTTCTAATTCGAACAAAAACTGGGTACCCATTTCGGTATGAAGTCGAATCCGATTTGTAATAGGAGTTCTTTTTCCGTTTCTTTTCCAACCACGATTGATAGGTACCAAAGTAAATATATTATACGCGTATGCGCGTGTCTGTCATCTACTGCGCGCGGGCGTCAGGAATTTATTACGCGAGTCTGTGTTTCAATGTAAATCGACATATCCGAAAACAAGTAAACAGTAATGCTATGTGAACGCACGATTTTTTTTATCCATTCAAAAGCGTGTATACTTTCGTCATTGTTCGTCGCAATAACGTAACCGATATATTATTTTATATAAACTACTTCCAAATTTGGTTCGTCGCGCGCGAGTGTCTGATGAAGCCGACGGCGGTCGTCGACCGCAGTAACTTTGTGTTGTTTTACTCATCGACGTACAGGATGGGTGGTGAATACATCTTGTGAATAAAGAAATAAAAAACAAAAAGTTGAAAAACTTTGAACTGAAAGTGTTTTCGCGCACGACAATATTGTTTTTATGTTCGTATCGTTAACGATGTGTACTCGAGATAAGTTTCCACGCGTGTTTGATGACCGGTCAACCAATAGCGTTAACGTTATTTTGAAGTTATAGGAAAAAACCGCGATATTATATTCGTCCGGACACAACTTTTTCTGAAAATACGGTTAACATTAGGGGGGATATTGCAAAAACTCTTAACTAAGCATTGGTTTCGATGCTCCTGGTCTCAAGTCACTCGCGTACAATTTTTGATAGCTGTTTGTCAAAAGCAATATTAATGTGCGTGTGTATACAACCACCGTTATAAACCGATAACCGCGGTGCATTTAATGATACACCGCAGCGCCCGCACGTATGATAAATCTGTTACGTGTGCTTGAATTCCTCTTCAGTCCATACCGTATAAGTATTGTTTTTTTTTTTTTTTTTTGATTTATATAAATTTTGTTTATAGACATGTGTGAGTAGCACCGATGTTACCGTTACCATAAAATTCGGCAAATGAGCTTACGTTACGGGACCATCCAATCATGGAGAGGATCAGTAGTTATGAAGTGCGTCTAAGAATCCGCGTTACGTTTATAAGTTTAAACAGTTATTGATTTCGGCAAACGTAACGTTTTTTTTTTTTTTTTACGCGTCAGTATAGAACCGAGAAAAGATATTTACAATAAATAGGAGCGACTGTTTCTAATATGAATCAAGCATATGTATCCATAGGGAAATACGAGAGTGAAAATTGATCATTTCTTTACGAAACTGAGGAGAATAATAATCTTAAAATATTCAACAAAAATATACTTTTTTAGTTGTCATTGGACATCTCGTTCCATTAAACCGTCCACTCCTGTAAGCCCCTTATCATCGTTACTCTTTGTATGGTTTAATACACATATTGTATACATTCATCGCAGCTTTAAAAAAATAGCAAGGTCAGAATTGTTCCCTCGTTTGGACGTTACAAGACTGCTCACGAAATGTTTGAAAGGTTACCAAAGTCGCGGTAATATTTTAGATCGGGCGATGCGTATAACTCCATTTTAGTGCGAGCACTACGATAAGTACGATATAACTGGTAGTGCAATAACAATCGAGTAAAGCAGACACTTACCCGTTCTCGTTTGCGATTCGGATTCGCTCGTCCGTCGCTACAGGTTCCACTGGTCCCCGTGTATCAGATGCTCTTGCGACTCGTGCGATGAAATAACAATAATGTACCGAATACCGTGTGGGATGATACCGGCCGGATGGCTAACTCGCGTTGCAGGTACAAAAACAAAACAAACACCGTTCTCAGATCGCACTGAACGGTCGGTTCAAAGGGTCGAGAAACGATGATGCGATCGCGGCGACGACGATGGAAAATATAGGAAAACAAAAAAAAAAAAAACAAACGCGTCGTTCCGATTCCTGCGTCGACGGATCCGTAAAAAAATATATAATTCTATTGCACAGAGCGGATAAAAAACGCGCGCGTTAAAAACCGTACAGTACGATATTTATCCCTATCCGTTCTCCGTCTTCTGTCGTCGCAGGCTCGAACGTCACACGTGCACGTATTACGATAATAATTATTGCAGTTATCTCGCTGCCGCCGCCGCCGCCGTCGTCGTCGTCGTCGCCGCCGCCGGTCCGGTCGAACGTGTTTCGCGTACTGGCCCAGGTCTCGCGTGCTGGTCGACGGGCGCGCGACACTCTTCGCCGCCGAGAGAGTTCACCGTCCCCACCGACGCGCTCCGCGACCACCTCTTCCGTGCACGCGCGCCGTACGTTCGCGGTACCCGTTCGCACCGCCGTCATTGCTGCCGTCGTCGTGCAACGTTTTCGGTGCCGTTCCGCGGTCCGCGCGCATACAGAGCGACGCGGAAACCGGTCGAAAGCTTCGCACTTCCCTTCTAGCCTTCGCCGCCCGGACGCCCACCGCTCGCGCTCGGCCGTGTGTCCACGTGCGCCGCGGGTCTCTCCTAAAATGGTCCTAACACCGCTCGCACGCGAGCGCGTACACTTGGCGTACACGTACGCAACCAGAGCACTAGCTGGGGTGAGGCGAGCGAGCCACTTGCATTGGGCGCCTGAAGCTGAGGGGCGCGAAAATATTAAACAGTTAACTTATGTTAAGAAATGTTATTTCTTGTTTTGCTAGAAACCTAATTACAATTTGTCAGATTTCTTCGAATCGTATTATACATATTAAAAGCTGTGAGTGTAACAACCCTACAACCTAGGGGAAGCATCGCTTCAGTTCCGCCTCAGGATAAAAAATGGCTTGGTACGGCTGTGTACGTAACGGTCGCGCAGGGCAGCCCATCCACGTCGGAGGTCTTTCGGTAATTTAGGACGGGACCGTTTCGTGTTCAGCTGAAGTTTAGCTGCCAAACAATATAAAAGATTTGTTACAAAATCACAGTCTAACGTCAATATATTTCGGATAAAAATCACTGTCCCCATTAACCGGTACGCCATTGGGCTTGATATTCAGACGTTTTAAAGTAATTTTTGATTCAATTTTGTTAAATACCAGTATCTTTAACGCTCTCTATTGTTGTAGGGTTTTATGACAGAGACCAACCGTGTCTGGGAACTTTATGAGTTGATAGTCCAACGAGTTTTTTCTTATACTCCAGGAGATTCATGTCGCGATACACCACGACTTATTTATTCTAAAATAAATTGAAAATTCTTAATTTTACCAAAAAGACAAAACTGCAACCCATGTAATGTACATGATAAATGATTTTGATATTATTTGAAAAATGGTCAGACATGAAAAGTCATCGGGAGAAGGAAGTCCATTTTTATAAATAGTATTACGTGATTTCGTTTTTATTTTATTTTTATTTTTTAATGTTTTATACTTCATATTAATGTTCAACTTAAAATAACATAATTTCAACATTTTTGCTAAGCAATTTTTTTTTTTTTTTAGAACTGTTCGAAATAAAACAAAGTTGTGTTTTTCTATATTTCTTTCGTTTTCAGTGCGTTCAAACCTTAACTCTAGTCATTGAAATATAATAATTACTGCATTGCCTATGCCCGTCTACGTAACAAGCGATTTGATCACATATGCACATATACACATAACGTCATAGTAATCGTAAGGCGACCATTATGTTTGTATTACATGATATCCTTTTTAACGATTCTTCACTATTGCTGTTGCAATATCCTTTTTGACACATATTTCTCCCCCCCTCGCCATATCGACTTGACGCATTCACACTCGACTTTGACAATGAAAAAATTATATTCGTAATTTTTCGAACATGCATTTTTTTTTTTGTTTTGAAATAATGTCCGTGCGAACAGCTAAGTGTACAATTATTTTTATTCTTACAGCGTCTCAGAACCAGATTTTCGCGACTCGTGCGTAAATTCTACCGACCTGCAACCGCGTAATTATAATCGTTGTATTTGGTACCTATATTATGAAAATCGGCGTCGGAGCCGAGAGCATTGGAAACACCAACCGCAATCGAGGTTCGATTTAATATAATTATTATCATAATTTACACGTATATAAACATCGTAGGCCAAACAAATATTCCGAATAAACTCAATAAACGAGTCCAACGCGCGTCCAGCTCCTTTTAATTTGCTATTTTTTCGTTCCCACGCTCTCTCGTCGTAGAATAATAATAGTAAAACATCGTATTACTTCTGCGCACATATTATATGGGACGCGCGGCGTGAAAATAACGTCGAACGCGGAGTTTTCGTCTTCGAACCGAATGTATTTTATCTGACGTCGACGACCGTATAAATTATAGGAATTTATTCGCAGTCATCCGACACATTCGACTGCCGTTGCGATAAATCTTTAATATATTATTACCGGCACACATCCTCTGGGTGTCATTGAAGGGTCGGATGACTGCTACAATTAAGACGCCGCGAACATAAGATTACGTATTTTTATTCGCTTTACAGTCGTTAGTTTTATGGTTAGTTTTTATAATTATTACATGTTGTGGTATGTAGTCACCCGTCAATATATATTTAATTGTCCCCACCGCTATAGATTGTATAGGTATTTCGGGCACAAAAATCTCACTACCGAATCTATTTAAATGCATTGTAGACGGATATTTTTCTCTGGTTTAATACTTAATTTTAAATTATATTGAAGCATTAAAAAAAACTAGACAATATCAATTTCGGCGTTTTTTTATCCCATTTATGTGTTACGATTGTTCGCGCCTTCTCGATAATGCGTTCATGCCCCCTCTCCATAAAGAGGCATGGATCCTAAGTTAGAAAACACTGATATATAGGCGCGAACGTCATCGCCATCGTCATCGTCATCGGGTCTTCCAGTCGTTAAGCCACTATCAGCACGAATATAATAAACAATAATATTATAACGACAAAACCACAAGGTGACGTACGAATACGCAGTAATGCACATAGTGTTTTGCGCGAATATCAATGACGTACTCCATGCTACACGCGAAACGATCTACAAGGAAGACACGATTTAATTTTTTTTCTCTCATAATTTATTATCTTATCGACTCGTAACCTATCCTATCCCGTACGCCTGGTAGACTAATTAATAATGTACGTATGGTACATGTAATCGACTGCCGGTGTTGTGGCTCCAAGCGCATTGCGTTTTATACGGACCAAAACGTCGTACAAAATATTCAACGTGGAAATATATTAATCTTTAAATACATAATTTAATTATCATTTACTCATCAACTGATCAGTGATCAGTCAAAAATACCAAACAGTTTCATTTAAAACTATGAGGGGATGTATTTACTTACAGGACGGCTAGATGTTTACATATTTTCAATTTTTGATTACCTATAATACATTTTAATGTTTTAAATAATATGTTAGTTTTAATAATTATCATTTAACATATATGTTAATTAAATGATAAAAATAAACAGAAATAAATATCGTTATAATATAATGATGGATTGTGTTATTCTTTCAATCTAATATTTTTTATTCGTTTATATACGCAGATATAAAACATATATTTTAAACTCTATTTGTATTATTTTTGTATTGCACATTGTAATAACCTATTTAACCACGTTTTCTTGCTCTCCTTTGGGGAATTATTAATACTTAATGAAAAACATGTTTGAAATGTTTTTGACTGAGTCATTAATGGACACTTGTACAAATGTCGCAGTACTATCATCAACGTACGTCGCGCCACTGTTATTTCACATGACCCTTTCGAGATTATTTTTCCTAAATATATCCCTTCTCTCCCACTATAGTTAAATTCTCAGTAACCCACTCAGTTTATATTCACCCACGTGTTTCGAGTTTTTACTTGCACTCCGAGTAGGATATTTATAGGATAAACCCGTACTGCACACAAAGTACCTACATAATAACAATAAAACGCGCGACGATGACACGAATATGGTATTTTGGTTACGATTTTATACTTACGTATTATTATAATATTAATAAATACTATACCTTGGGCAGCGGTCCATAATATTCGTAAATAAAAATAAAAATAAAATATTGGCATGCGCAGCGGTGCGTATATTTGTGTAAATAGTAAAATAATGTGAATAGGTTTAGGCATCGTATACCTTGAGAAACGTTATCCAGGGACTCCGATGATCGCAAAATAAGAGAATTAACCTTGGCTCAAAAATATTTAAGTTGATTTTTTGTTTTCTCGCATAAATAGCCTTCCGGTATGTTGTGTCATCGTATCGACCTCCGTCACAAAAATATTGCAGATAAACTAGCTTATCACCAAATTAAATACGTTGATCATTCCAAATGTAGATACTATTCGTTTTTTATTTAATAATAACTATTATTTTAAACCATAAAAAGATAGCTATATTTTAAAGGACATGCGTTTTTATTTATTTTTGGTGAAATAAAAACGCTTCCTTAGTTAGTGTAGTGTGTTTATGTGTGTATAAATAAGAAAAACTAATCGTCAGATTCCAAAAATGGATTATAAACATTTCCGCGGGTGGAATAAAATATTAGCAACGTAATTATGTTCGTGTTGCCGCGGAAAGATTTATCATACGGACTTATCTAATAAAAAATATGTTAAGTTAATAAAATAATTTTAAAATCACGAAAACTATTTTGAAATAACTACACCGCTGCAACGATGTCCATTAAAGTTCGTATCGATTAAAATAGTTATTATCAAAACCTGCTATATACACTAGCAGTCCATTGATGACGGTTATTTCTTTTCAACTACAATGTTCCTAGAATATAAGTTTACTAACATACTTGAGTAACGTTTTAGTCTCGCATTAAAGTCTAACGGATTAAGGAAAATCGTGAAATCCGGATTGCTCGTACGTATAATAATAAAAGTAATAATAACAAAACTACACTACTGCTGCACGTAATATGATTCCGGGAAAACTTACCGCTGGTCCGTCAATACAGTATTATTATGATATCTGTCTTGGAAACGCGGTCGAAACGAATAAATAACGGACGCGTATGCAAATTAATTGCGTACGCGCTTCACTTATCAAGACTCGTTAAATAATACTATTTAAATTCATAATGGAAAATAATTCAAATAATTAATAATATATTATTATTATTAATTATATAAAACTATAATAGTATGTATAAGGATATACTAACACCACCGATGCCTGCAGGTCTAACGGGTCTTGCTGTTGCAGTAATAC